GGGGAACGAGACCTGGAGCAGCGCGAGGGGAACGAGACCTGGAGCAGTGTGAGGGGAATGAGTCCTGGGGCAGCGCGAGGGGAATGAGTTCTGGAGCAGTGCGAGGGGAACGAGACCTGGAACAGTGTGAGGGGAATGATCCTGGAACAGTGTGGGGGAATGAGTCCTGGAGCAGCGCGAGGAGAAGTGAGTCCTGGAGCAGCGCGAGGAGAAGTGAGTCCTAGAGCAGCGCGAGGAGAAGTGAGTCGTGGAGCAGCACAACTTACCTTGGTGCAGCTGAGTGCCGGTGTGGAGCAGACTGGAAGCTTGGAGTGGAGCGGGACAGTTGTTGGCCTGGGGTCTGGCGCGGGCGGTCAGACCACGTGCTGAGCTGCTGCTATTTGAAATTCTTTACCAGTCTGTAATCCTTTAACTATGTTGTAACTGTCTTGCTTCTAACTTATTTTTTAAACACTGTAAGTAATGCTACTACTTTCCCCATTATTCCTCTTTTGTATCCAAGACTTTTACCTCGGTACTTGTATCTAAGATGGTGCCAATAGAGGCAGCCACTGTAAAACCTTTTCACTGTACTCTTGTACTTCTGTACTGGAGTACACGTGACAATAAAGGCCATTCTATTTTCTATTCTATTCCAACTGCATGTTGCATTTGCATGCTCACTTTCAATAACTGACATACAAGGACAGCCAGGCTCCTTTATACACCCTCAACCATTTAAATAATACATTCTGTTTTTCTGACCAAAGTGGGCAACTTCACACTTATTCAGATTATACTGTATTTGCCATGTGTTTAACCATGGTGCTGGTTTCACCAATGGGATGGGAAAGAAGTTCTTTTTTTCTTATTTGTTCAAGGGATGTGAGCATTGCTGCCAAGGCCAGCATTTATTTCTTATCCCTAATTACCCTTGAAAAGGTGGTGGTAAGCCAATGACAGTGAAGGAACAGCGATATATTTCCAGATCAGGATGGTGTATTACTTGCAGAGAATCTCACAGTGGGCAGTTTTGCCATGTGCCTGCTGCCCTTGTCCTTCGAGATGGATGGTAGAGGTTGTAGGGAATTTGGAAAGCACTGTTGATGAAAGTTGGTAGGTGTTTCTATTGAACCTTTAGATATCATGTCATATCAGTGGTAGAGAGAGTGAACATGTAAAGCGGCGGATGAGGTGTCAAGCGTATGGGCTGCTTTGTCCTAGATATTGTTCAGCTTCTTAATGAAGTTAATTCAAAATAGTTTTCACATAATACATCTATTTCATATAAATTCAATTTTAGCCAGGCTTAATTCCACACAAAGTCTCGATAAATGGCAGCATGAGTCATCCTGTCATACTTCAAAGCTAATTCTGTGACTATGCACCTGCCAGGTGAGTTTCCATGCCAGGAGTACAGTCTCTTTATCTTATCCAGTATTGCTTGCAACACAAAATCACCTGAAGAATTTGCAAGCAGCATGGAAATGTCATGCTGCCTGTTCCTTTAAAAGATTTCTGCGTACATTCCAGTCCTGAATGAACTGTTAGGTGGCTGCATGTTCCAGCTTGAGCAGGCTCAAGTAAGTATGAAGCTAATACCACTTTAATTTGTGCTACTTAAAGTTAAGCCTGCAGTTTTAAAGGGCAAGTGCATTCTGACTGGAATGGGTGCTGGAAGTGACTCAAGTATAATTTCTGACTTGCAGGAAGAGAACAGGACAGTCACTCTGCTCCTAGATTGTCTAATGCTGCACTAAATGCCTCAATGAAAGAGATGGGCAGGAGAGGACATCTCCTCTATTCACAATGGAGCCAGAGGATCTCCAAACAAACTTTGCAAAGGCAGTGAGAACAGAGAGTCATTGGCACTGATGTAAGCAGTGTACCTTTGAGGACCTGGTTGAACATAAATGATCAACATCACGGAATTCATCTTCAAGTGTCAAGTCCTTACAAGTAAACCAATAATCTCACATAATGTTCAATTCACCACATTTCGTTCATTCACAATATTCTTGGTCGATCATGAAACATACCTCACATTCATAGCTTCTCTTTATCCTCACACTTGTACAATTCTTGCGAGTTCCATAATCATACCTCACAGCTTCCATACACTGGCAGCTATTCAACCATAATAAGGACATCAATAAACCATATTGGACCACATTCAAATATGCACTTGCAGGACAAGGTGACACACAGCTGTAGGTAGCAGGAAGTATTTGGCAGAACAGGCGTGGCTGCAAGGCCTCATCCCTATGAAGGAAATGGTGCTGGACAGCATTGGAACATCCATGACAGAAGCTGTGGCCAATAGCAAGGCTGAAACCATCGAAGATAGCAGAAGGTTCCTGCCTTATTTGTCATCTCACATTCCTCTTCTGCCTCCTCCCATAACCTCTTTTGATTTACCAATTACAAATTGTTTAATGATTTATCTCTTGCTTTTTCCCCAAACACAGAAAATGCTGGAGAAACTCAGTAGGTCTGGCAGCGTGTGTGGACAGAGAAACTGAGTTAATGTTTCAAGTATCATATGACTCTTCTTCAAAAGAGTGTTTCTCTCTGGAAAAGAAACCAATGTGTTTCTTCTCTTTGTACAACATTTGTCAATCACTACCCCTCTCTCCACCAATACGATATTGAAGGTGAACTACATGCTGTAGGAGATACTGCATACTTCGGTCTACAAGGAAGTTTGGGTGACAGAATTCATGTTACTTTGGTAATTGTGGCCTTGCTGTGTTATAAGCCTGCAAGTCTGCCTGCAGCAGGTGGTAGATTTTACTGAGCACCTCCTAACTGAATAACAACCATCCAAACCACTCTTCCTTGCTGAGTTTGAGCTAGGAGAATTGCTCCCTGGAGGCATACTAAGTTGATTATGGTTTCTTGCTGAGAATCCTGTTCCCTTCCTCACCTTGAGCTGCTTGTCCTCCTTTTTAGTGCTTCTGCTCATTCTCTGTCATTCCACAGTCCAAGGAGGATGGAAGCTACAGCACCCATGACCAGGGGCATGTGGTCACAACAATTAGAATCAAGATCTTAACTAACAGTTACAAACCTCCATACACTTCTATTAATTTAACAACAGCCAGTAGAAACCAATTAGCAATGACTAAAGTATTCCATTATTCCTTTAAAGCAGCAATAGCAGGGGTCACTCTTGCTGTTGAACACATGTTCAGCTCTGTGAGTTAAGGCATATTTTACATGGGAGCGTTGAGAAACAGCACCTGTAGAGCCAAAAACACTTGCACTATGTATTCTAAATTTTGCAACAGTTATTTGAACAACACACATGTTCATAGTGTCACTTATACTCATCCAGAAAGTATGTTTCATTTCCTGTAACAAAATCTGCAGCACAGAAAGGAAATTTGGGGCTTTCTTACAAATCTGCACAGATTTAATGAGACAATTTGGTTATGTACCGCTTTTCCCTCATTTTGTATTGAACATCATTTGCAATATAGACAAATATTTTCTGAGGAGCGGTTGAGTATGTTGGGCTTATAGTCATTGGAGTTTACAAGAAAAAGAGAAGACGTTATTGAAACATAAGATTCTTAGGGGTCTTGACAGGGTAGATGTGGAGAGGTTCTATCCTCTTGTGAGACCGGGTCTAGAGCCACAGGGCATGATCTCAGAGTAAGGGGTTGGCTATTTAGGAGGGTTTTTTTTCTCTAAGAGTTGTCAATCGATGGAATTCTCTGTGGGACCCTCACAGAGGGCTGTCAAGGCTGGATCACTAGCATTTTCAAAGCTGAGATAGACAGATTTTGAATCAGTCTGGGAATTGAGGGTTAAGGGGAAAAGGCAGTAAAGTGGGGTTGAGGATTATCTGATCAGCCATAATGTCACTGAATATTGTAACAAACTTAATAGATAGAATGGCCTACTTCTGCTCCTCCACCTTATGTTCTTATGGTCCCAAAACAACTTGCAAACAAAGATCCTGTATTAGATATGTTATACTTTTATTGCCGGAGTCATGTCAGTTGTTTACAGTTTTCTGATTTTTTTCTCATAATGTATAGTACACAATAAGCAAGTGTAATTATTTCTTTCTTTCAGCCTTTAGATGCCAGCTACGCAAAAAACATGATCAGTACTGCATGAGTCCATTCCAAGCTGGATTGAATCCGGCAGACTTCCGTAAAATCCATGTTTTATATCTAACCTTTTGAGTGCATCAGCTCCGGCTTCATTTCCTGACTTTTCAGCACAATCTGCCATTTCATAACCTTATGAGAGCTGTTGTCACAGCGTATCATGGAGGCTCAGCAGTACCAGCATAGTAATTGAAAAAACAAGCACTGCTTCCAAACCAGTGTATGCTGTGTCCAGTATCTGTGGGAGATAAGATTGTTGGCAGAATTATTTTTTAAAGAAGGTATTGACAACAGTTGCAAAGGTGTAAATTAGGCCATTTTAGTTTCTTTTATATTATTTCATGACAGGATTTGAAACCTCCTATAGTACTGTGATACATTCAACAAAAATGCTTTACTTAATATTCATAAGCTTCTTAAAGCATTTGTCTCCTAAAATTTTACGAATTAAGTTATGAAAAGCAAATTTTACTTTTTGTTATTTTTGCACATGTATTAGCAGTCTTGTATTTGATTTACACCGTGTCAACACCCCACTAACATTCATTAAAAGGCTGATGCCCTCAGAAACTTGAGGAATTCCCCTAGCTAAATATACAAATATATTCGATCCCTTTTTTAATGACTGTATATGTCATTCATTTCTGAAAGTCTTTCTTGCAAAAGAATCATCAGATTGAAAATGGATAGCATTTTTTTCAAGTCTAATATTTGTTACATAGAAGTCTCTATGTGTTTGGTAGTGCACAGCCAAAAGTTTAGCTTTTAAGCACAGGATTTTCTTTGTCCAGCTGACAAGAATCAACATATTTTCCATTGTTCATTTCCAGCTTAATTTTGCTGTGACAAGAACTATGGTTTGAAAATGTTAACTGTACGTTTTTTGTGTACTCCAAAATGGTTAGCAGCACTAAGCTTTCAGCTGAGTATCATTTTGCCCACCATGAACTATTCCTGACATACCTTTTTGACCTTTAAACATTAGTCGGTGCCCTCCACTGCAGTAGTGTGGAAATACACGTACAACATGGGCCTGATTTTCCATTGTCCAATGCACATAAATGATTATATCCTCTGCAAACGATACCTTGTGTGGTTGATGCTGAGTCTCCATGGCACAAGCTAGTCATTAATTATTGAACTGAGAATAATAAAAATTGCATTAAATTCGTGATACAGTATTTCAACTAGTGTACATTGGACAATAATGATCCTGCTAAATTGAATAGTACAACGCAAGTTAGGAATGTGTGTTAAGCTGTGATTTAGAGCTGATATATGAATAAGTCCCAAAATAAGAGCAAATAAACTGGATTGATTTATGAAAATATTCGTTTTTTTTCCCTTCAGCAATGAATTTTGCTGGTGCACAACTATTATTGCAATCACCACTCAATTGGGTAATATCACAGCTTTTTCTAGACAATCTTGACAGCTGGCTACTTGACAATTAGGATTATTGTGATAATGTTCAATGCTATCCTCGTCCAAGGTGCATGTATACATACTTCCAAGGAAAGTTGGTCGCTAACAACCCAGAGCAGAAATTCTGTCTTATTTTTCTTTTGTGAAACTTAACCTAGAGGCACTGAGGCGGCTTGTAACACGGCAACAACTGCTTAGTTGAGATTGGCTCACGATATACCGTATATTGTGAAAACTAACAGAGTTAATCAATAAATTCAAAAAAAATCTGACAAGCTTACAAATGAACTGATAGTTTATGGATGCCATAATACGATAAGCTAAAAACATGTGAAAAATGTAGTTAAATGGGCTTTGTAATGTAAGCTGCAGGTACATGCACATCTCCTCTTGTATTACACAAACTAAGCATAAACTCATAAAAACCAGAAGTGGGAAATTCAAATGTTGGCTGTATGTTCTTGAGTAAGGTGGGCTAAGGAATGCTCCTTCAGAAAATGTTAAATTCCTACATTAAAAATGATGCATTTTATTTAAACTTAAGCTATTTCATATTTAAAAATTTGTAGATATTTTAATCTAAAAATGCTACATTTGGATATTCAACAGACTAATGAAGCTTTGGATTCCCAAAAGTTACCTCAACACTCATTCTCCTATATTTCCACTTTTTTTTATTGCAAGGTTTATACCACCTAGCTTTTTCATAGACTCTTCATTTAAATCTGCCAATATTTAGGTTCACTTTGAATGTAGTGGACAAGTTGATAAGGGTGCTTTTAAATAAATAGATCTTGACTTTATAAATAGAGGCATAGAGTATGAAAGCAAAGAGTTTAGAACTCATTCTTTTGCTTCAACTTGACTATTGTATCCAGTTTTGGGCCCCACAGTTGAGAAAGAATGTCGGAGTTAGAGAAGGTCCAGAGTGACATGGTTTACTTACAAAAAGGTATCTGCGTTGGTGTAACAATGCTTATGTTACATAACATAAGAACTGGGCATGGATATTATGATATTGAAGAATCCAACAGACACTTATTATACATAACTATTATGAACAAATATTGTATTCCTCAGGCACATAAGCACATGGGCTAGTATTAATTGATTAGTTTACAAGAAAAAGCATGTTTCAGTAGAGTATCATGTTTCAAGTCACCTCAGATAAATTGGAGTATGACTGTATGGGATGGGGGATAGGGTTATGAGTGTGTACAGCATGGCTTAGAAGTCTGAGTTCAATTACAAGAGATATGAAGAGAAATTAAGGGCAGAAGTTTTGGGGTTTTGAGTTGGCTGGGGATGGCGGAGCAGTGGGGAAGAGAATGGTGGTGGGGAGATCCAAAAGGCAAGTGGGGGGCTGGACACAGTGGCTGAATTTTCCTGTATTTTTTTCAAAGTGTGGGGGTGTGTGTTAAGTGATGACTAACATATCATCCCACTTAGAAGATAACTTGCCCGCTCATTAGCTCATTAAAAGTTGTCAGATGAGTGAGGGTGAGTCTCATTTTCACTCTCACAGGCCTTGACACTGGTGATTCTGATTGCTAGAAGTTTCATACCAGTCAGAGGCTGACATCTTCTAGGTCTTAAAGTCCACCAGTCAAGGCCTACGCCTCAGGGAATCCAGTGGCAACAAAGATTTCTTTTTTATTTCTTTTTCCTGTAGAATGAGGGTTGCAGGGAGAGGGAGCTCAGAGGCAAGGGCCAATGGGTGGTTATTCGAGCAACCCCCCTTGCTCATCATCTGCACCACTGACTGTTCCCAGATTGGGAGGCCGCTCCCCAGCTCCAGGTGCCATAACTGTTTGTATCTATGGTCCTCGCCAGGCAACTCATCCAGGGCAGACCAGTTACTCCAGCTCTGACCCAGTAACTATGCAATGGAGGATACCCTTTAAGTACCAAAAATTGGCCTTAACTGACTGCCTCTTGATCCTTGACAGGCAGCTTGAAAATGACCTGAGGTTGATATCATGGCAGTGAACTGACATGGAGGCCAATGGTACCAAATTCCCTGCCCTCCTTTCTCCAATTCCTTCATTGACCCATTCAAAATTCCCAACTTTTGAAAGGGACAAATATTTTAGCTTGTATTAATAATTGGATTATAGTTTACTTTTTCTCTTTTCTTTCCCTCTGGCGTCTTCGAGGCCCAAGGCCAATTGCAGCAAAACTTGGTCAACATTCAGGCTGATAAGTTGTAGCATGAAAGGCCAGTCAATGATCACCTCCAACAGGAGATCATTTAAGCATCTCCTTTTGATTTTCAATGGTATTACCATTGCTGAATTCCCCACTATGAGATTGACCAGAAACTTAACTATACTGTGTCTACAGAAGCAGGCTAGAAGCTGGCAATTCTGCAACATGTAACTCATCTCTCAATCCTCAGAGCTTGTTCACCATCTACAATGTACATGTCAGAAGTGTGATGGAAATCTCCCCATTTTCCTGGATGAGTGCAGCTCTGACAGCACACACCAAGGTTGATAATTTGGAACAAAGCAGCCCACTTGATTGGCACCTATTCACCGCTTTTAACATTCACTCTCAGCACTATCAGCACATAGTAGCAGCAGTGTGTACTATCTGCAAGATACACTGGCATATTACAACAAGGCTCCCTCAACAACCCTGTCCTAAACCATGACCTCTACCTCGAAGATAAAGGACAATCGATGTATGGAAACTGCATCATCTGCAAGTTCCCCTACAAGCCAAACACCATCTTGACTTTAAATTATATTGTCATTCACAATCATTTAGTCAAAATTCTGGAAAATCCATACTGACAGTACAATACCAACATCACATGGACTGCAGCTGTTCAAGAAAGGGGCCCAATGGCCTCCTGTTCCCATTTCTTATGGTCTTAAGACAGCTTACAGCCTTTCTCAATAGCAAGTAGTAATGGATAAAAACTACTGGCCTATTAGTCAACAAGGCCCACATCACATGAAAGAATATAAAAAGTCATCAGGAAAATAGTTCTGCTCACCTCCCCCCCAACACTGTGGATAACTCTTCTTCTCTGGGCAACCTACCCACAGGCTTTGGAGGACTTGCTCCTTAGATCCCTGAGATGTTCTGAAATCTGCCATGGTTTTCCAATGCATAGCTGTCCACACTTTCAGTGGAAATGGCTTCAAGAGGCCCATACTTGCTTTTTTGTAAAAATTACATTAAATCTGCACTAGAGTGTTAAGCACCCACATTTCTAGTTAGTGCCTGAAAGCACATTCAAATCGTGACAATCTTCAATCAAGCCAAATATTGTACACTCAATCCGGATTTTCAAACAGGCATTTGATATTTTTACAGGACCACTTAGCACCTGTTTCACCCTTTGGCCAAAATAGTATACTTGCTTTCAGAAAACTTTAGTTAATGATTAGTTTTTTGTAAAGCATGACATGCTTGCAAATATATCATTGCTCTTATGAACCATTCAATTTCCAGATGAAAACCAGTGTTTAGTTAAAAAAAACTTCTTGCATATTGTGACATCAAATAGTCATTTCAGAATGATCTGACCTGGTCGTATGAAGTAGCTATCCTTCATATCTGATGCCCTTATTTCTTTTTGATTGTTCTTAAAAGCAGGTATACATAAAACTTGATCTGCTGTATGTGATATCGTTTCTGGGTCATAAATCAATTTAAGTGAAGCTCCTTCCATCCACTTACCAATCTAGTATTTTACTTAATTTTTTCCATGATATGATCTATGTGTTAGTTTTCTCATTTCTCTTTCTCTGTAAATATTTGCAATTATGATCAACTTTATGAACAAATCTGTTTTTTATAGTGTTCTTCAACTCTACAACTTTGGAACTGTTGCAGTTTGGCTGTTTCTAGCAGGCATAACACCACTGCTGTAGACTGATTCATTTTCGCTCTTCTGGTGCTGTCTTAAAAGGAAAATTTCAGTGCAGGGAATGTATAACATGGTGCCAACAATGATAATTAATGAAAGGCTTACAGCTGCTAAAGGAATTCAGCTGAATGTGTATAGAGGGTGCTGTTGGCCTGTTATGGAGCACATTTTACTGTCTCATAACGCAAATAACTAGAGCGTACAATATGTAATAGCAATAAGAAATTACTTCTAAAATAATGCCATAATAGAGCAGCCTTTCTTTGATTTGGGCAGGTTTAATTTGAAATCTACAATAATTGAAACATATATATTTCTCCGTGTTTTAGACTTTTTGTAAATCATTTCCACCTGTAACAGGTTATATTATTTTCTCCCTTTGAAGTTTATGAATTTGTTTTAATCTGTTGCTTCTTAATAAACTGCTCAATGCTTAATAAGATACTTTTAATCCCCTTGTGATTTTGTGCCAATTTTGGGTGATCTGTGACTCCTGAACTCAATCTAAATCTCACAGTAAGATTTTAAGATTTGAAGAGTGGGATTTCACAGTGGTTGAGATGATAAGCCTGAGAATCAATTGTTTGAGTTGAACCTGTGTAGAGAAACCAGGAGTATACAACAACATTGGCATATTATGGGGCATGATTGATCAAAAGCCTGGCAGAAGATTAAAGCAGATCCATCCCTTTAAGTGGGAATGATTTTTTAAAAGTTTATTTTAAGAAAAGTGATATAATTGCATAAGAAGTTTTCTCCCATCACACATCAAACAGGTAACAGAGCTAACCCATTATGCTGACAATTATTATGTTTTTTATTAAATTCAACACATGACTTTTGTATTGGCCACTTTAATTTTGCATATTGAATATTATTAAATTTTATGTTTCTAAGTTTGCAGATAGGCTTGGACAAATTATTCATCAGCAGAGACACAATTTGTGTGTTTTTCAAACAGATGTGATGAAAATATATCTAACTATCCTTTTTGGAATTTTGATTTCAAAATCGAGGGAGATGGGTGTTGCCCCCAACTCCTGTGAACAATTTTCTTTAAAAAAAAACAAAATAAGGGAGTACTTCTGGAACAGTGATTACATCCAGCATTTGTCATTTGGAAAGATGTTCATACTGTCGGGTTTATGGTAGGTAAAGTAAACATTTAAGGTCATTACTTTGTTTATTTAGATTAGAAGCATTTAGGAATGAGCAAGGTTTTGCATACTTCAATTCAGAAGATACCAGGGTCGAATTTAGCAGTAAGCTTAGTTTCTTCGTTAGAAGAAGTTCAGGAAAGTGTAGAGAGCAAGTTTCTTTAATAGAAAAAATTGGAAACTTCCAAAGAAGGAGAATTTAGTTAGAAATTTGCAGGTCATTGGAACTGGGAATGTTTAGGGTCTCAGGTATTTGAAATGCTCATGTTGGCAGATTTGGAAAATCTCATGGAATTGTCCCACAGGCAAAGAATCTGTAAGGAGTCAGTTACATAGAAACTGAAGAGCAGAGCTGGGGTGTAATTTCTCTGGACTCAAATCTCTGAAATGCATAGTGTGAGGAATTTTTGGTCACAAGAAATAATAATTACAAAAAAGTCTCTTTGGGAATTCAACCACAGCTTGAAGGAAGGACCTGCAGTGCCATTTGATTTCACAGAACATTCATTACAACATTGCAACCAGTGCACATTTCAATCCCTACCAGGAATGTTCAGTTACATTCTGTGTTCTACAGAACTGCAATATGCATATATTGTAAGAAAATATATTTTATAAGGTGAATGTGAAGTAGTATATGGAACTGCTTTGAATGCTGGGCATTGTCAATGAGATGAGAACATAAAAATCAACTGAAATGAGGCAAAAGCAGGATTGGGTTTCCATTGTTAGTGATGCAATTACATCCCTATAAATGTAACCCTTGCCATTTCCTAGGCAATGTCAAGCGAATGATGTGGTGACCAATAAGGAAAAAGAGAGAGTCCAGCGTATTTCAGTGGGTGCTGCAGGGGCTAATGGGTAAGCCCTGCTTCCTGCGTCTGGCTCATAGATCCCGCTTTGCCCAATGCACCAGACCTATTTTATTACATCACAATCGCTATTGTTCGGCTTCGGCTCAAACACTCTAAGGTATCATACCTTCAGTCCTGGTGGAACGAGTGTGACATCAAAGTTCATGGAGATAGTTGGACATGCTCATTTCTTCTCATCATTAGTGCGTAGAAGCTTGGTCTCAGCACTGACCTGTGATTCCTTCATTACTGCCATTCATTTAATCTTCTAAATGATTGTATTTTCACTGGCCTTGTACTTGGCTTTCCCGTTCATGCAGATGATCTGCACTTCACTGATAGTGAGTGAGCTTGAAATAAGCACCTCAATGTTCTGAACTAGCAATGATGGTTCGAAGATTGATTTAATCAGAACTTTCACTTCAAGTTTAGCTCCACCTACTTCTCTGACCAATGGGATCACACTGATCAGAAGGATGATAGTGTCAGGAAATAGAAATATTGTTTATCTACATGCGTTAAGGCATTGTAACTGTCTCCTATATTTAAATAGCTTGGTTTGTTTTTAATTTCTTCTTTTAGTGTAGTAAACCTCTGCTTGTTGTTAAAGAAAATCTGATTTCTCATATACATATGTGTCAGTAACTAACAAACCATACTAACTGAACAAAAAAAAGGGAGAGTCTTATGGAAACCTAAACTGGTGAGATATGTGGTAAAACTGTATGAGAAACCTGGTGCGGACAGTCTCAAAGTCAGGAACAATCAGCTGTACCTTTTAAGGAAGCTCTGGGTATCAAAAACAATATTTTCACAAGGGTGCGGCTAGATGCCAATTAAAGATGATTATTACTTGTTAAGGTCATGTTAACTGTACATCTCTCCTCATTAATATGCAGCCTAATATCCTACCACCTGCTGTGAACCAACTAAATGCTAAGAATTCTTGATATAAAAGTCAGAGCAGGTACCTGGCAACTTCAGGTTGCCACTGTCTGAGAAAAGTTTCCATGTTGCTCAGCACCAAATAGCATCTCAGGACATGATCCATGGCTACCAGCCACATATACCCCTTGTCTACAGCCATTGGCATCTGATATTTGACAACCCCTCAGGATTCTCATTGCACTATTCTGAAAGTTAATTTTACAGTGCATCTGCAAGAACACTTTTTGCAAAGAGACAGACATTCAGTTCACAGATTGAGCCATTCTTTATCTCAGGGATGTGTGTTTGCTGTCGTAGCACTCGCTCACTTAGTCCTTGCTTGCATATGTGCAACATCTCAAGGGCAACTAGGGATGGCAATAAATGATGGCCAGCCAGTGATGCTCATTTCTCACAAATAAATTAAACAAGAAATAATTCATGCCTTGCTTTGCCATGTTGTGCCATGTCTGTTAGTGAGTTGGCACTTCAGCCAAAGCTAATGTTGTAATGACATGTTCTTTCATGCAGACGCACAGACAGACTGCTTGTCATGTTTGTCAGTAGGGATCTGTTCATTGGGGAGACATTTTGCTATATGACACATTGAGACCTCAATCTAACACCTACAGCACATGCCAACTGCCTGCACGACAAACACTATGCATGTGTATTCAAGCAAATGATCATGTCAGGAAATGGGTGGGAGCTACTTCTCAATCTGGCCGAATGAGGACTGCTATCAATCAGGGAGTGCCAGTGCTATCAGTCATGGATACACTTTGAACACAGTCCATGGACTTGGCCACAGTCAATCATCTGCTTGGCTGGTCACAGTGAGGAGATATGACTGACTACAGATTGGGGAATGGGTGCCAGTCGGACCTGTAGAGCCAACAAAAGCAATCAAGGGCATGGTGCACCATCAGGTGGAGAGCTGCAAAGACACCAATCAGGTATCATGCCAGTCATGCCTAGGGGTTGCTCATTGAAGTTTGTTCAAGGTCTGGGGACTTCAAAGTTCATGCATTGATCATTGAGGAAGGTGCATGGGGGCCCGTATGGGAAAAGTGAGGCACATTGTTAAAAGTAGATTGGACAATCGAGGTTCAGGAAGGAAAGTAGAGGCATACGTTGAGGTGGCAGCAAGGGGATGACACGGGATATGTGTAACAGCATTTGAGGGCATGGTAGACTATGGGCTGTGGTTGTCATTAGCAGTTACCACCACCATGGTCTCCAGAGGGGGACTGTAGAGAACCAGGGTGGACATCAATAAGGTATAATGTCCAGGCTCAGGGACAGGGAGGATAGTTAGAGGTAAATTTCAATGTCGTGGGACTTCCCATGAGGGGTGAAAATGGCAATCTGGGAAAGCTGATGTAAAAGGGGTATGGAGGTTCTGGGGTGTTATTAGGTGACCAGGCACAGCTCAGTACTGAAGGTAGTAAGGACTGCTGATGCTGGAGTCAGAGATAACACAGTGTGGAGCTAAAGGAACACAGCAGGCCAGGCAGCATCAGAGGAGCAGGAAAGTCGATGTTTTGGGTTGAGACCCCTCTTCAGAATTTCTGAAGAAGGGTCCCGACCCGAAATATCAACTTTCCTGCTCGTCTAATGCTGCCTGGCCTGCTGTGTTCCTCCAGCTCCACACTGTGTTATATCAACACTGAAGGTGTTCACTATGAGCTGTGTTCCCTGCCATTGCTTGCTATTCTCTAGATGTAAAGTGCAACTGGAAATTGGCTGGGTCAATGGTCACATTGGGTGGATTCAGTGTCAGTTTGATGGACAAAAGCTTAAGATCCCTGTTTGATTGACACAAGTATATTGAACAGGTAAATACATGAAGCCGGCAATTGCAAACTCCAGCTACATTTTATTTGCAATGTATGCAGAGTGAATGTACTTAGCGATCAAATGCTGGTCAAAGTCATTTCGCACCACATGATTGATGCTTGAACATTGCACGCTGGCGTCTCAATGAATCAGAAGTTAGCAGCAATGACTTGCAAGAAGGTGAATATTGGCCAAAATTGACCTATCACTTGTGGAACTTACATGGGTTCTGTGGGAAGCAGAGACCGTCATTTTATCATCGGTTATATGAACTTTGCTGAAAACAGGGCTAAGCTTCACGTTTAATGTGGGTCTGGACTGGGAAAGGGTCAAGTGCAGAAGGAACTCCCTTTTTGATGCAATGTATTACTCATTCAGCCAATGCAACACCTTCACAAAGTTGCTGCACATGCTGAGGCTGAAGCTAAATAAATGATGGAGATATGGCTCTCAGTATCTGGGTGCTGCATATTTGGGGACGAATGAGGCAGAGTGTTAACAAAGGCTCCGTGTGTCTTGGGGCTGCGTTGGAATGATGCCAGATACTATAGCAGGATCTGTGGGCTGTAGGAGCGGGAGGGCACGTTCTCCTGGGGGCTACAAAGGTGACAGCCACTTTGAACCTCTATAGACTGGCTCTTTCCAGGACGTAATGGGTGACCTGGATGAGATCTCTCAGTTGGGTGTTCATAAATGTATCAGGTCAGTGACCAATCCTTTTGTACAAGAACACACCAGCTCATTTTGTTTCCCAATGATGTCTGTGCTGCAGCCTAGGCAATAGGATTCAGGAACAAAGCTGGCTTGTCATGGCTGCAGGGTGTCATCAACTGTATGCATGTGGCACTGAGAAGGTTGTATCATGATGCTGCAGAATTCCTCAACAGGTAGGAATTCCATTCCATTAATAGTCAAGTGATCACCATTACCACTTACTGGAGTGTGCCCACTATCCTGGCAGCTGCTATGACACCTGAATCCTGAAGCTGTCTTATGTACTTGGTGTGTTTGAGGGTCTGGAGGCCTTACAAGTATGGCACCACGGAACAAGGGATAACCACTGTGACCATGGCTGATGATCACTGTGCAACTGCCCTACTTATGCAGAGTGCAGATACAATGCTGACCATGGGGCCATGGTGGAGCAGATAATAGGGCTGCTGGATTATTCTGAAGTGATCCACCCAGATCAGTCCAAGCAGCAGAACCACTTCTTCAGCAGCCCTATTATCTGCTCCACCATGGCCCTGTGGTCAGCATTGTATCTGCACCCTGCATCAGTAAGGCGGTTGCAGAATGGTCTTCAGCCATGGTCACAGTGGTGCCATCCTATTGCTGCCATTGTGTGTTAGTGATGCAAGGAGTGAATGTAACAATGTTTTGTCTTGGATGGTGTCAACTTCTTCAGTGTTGCTAGACAGTCCCAAAATATTCCATCACACTTCTGAATTATGTCTTGCAAATGGTGAACAGACATTGGGGAAAAAAGGAATCTAATGTAGTTAAAAGTCCCAGAAGCCTTAATTCCAAATCTGAATTCTGCTTTTTATGACAATATTTTCAAATTCATTGACCTCAACAACAAGATCATAAAGATGCCTAAAAACACTGACCCCCCCTCCCCACAATGATGCCAGTTTTGATTCAACTGAAGACAGCCCAATTTATTAAGATGGACCTTACTGAAAAGTTCCAAATTCTAGAGGTATAATTTAGATCACATACACATGTATGTAACTTCCAGAGTGTCCCTATTAGTTTTGGTGTCTCCATTGGATGACAAAGAAACAGTTCCTTTTGAGCTGATCTCTTGGCAAAAATGCAGCTTTAATATCAATTGGTCTACATTCCCAAGTATTTGTTGCCTAAAAAGTCAAGAAAATCTTCAAAATTGACGTTTCAGGTTCGGACCCTTCTTCAGAAGAAGGGTCCTGACCTGAAACGTCAACTTTCCTGCTGCTCTGATGCTGCCTGGCCTGCTGTGTTCCTCCAACTCCATACTGTGTTATCTTTGACTCCAGCATCAGCAGTTCTTACTATCACTCAGAAAATCTTCAAAATTGTTCCTCCTGCTGTCGGTCATTCTATTCAGATGTCTTGGTCCCCCAATTTTTTCACCACAACCAAATGCCACTAGCTTTGCTCTAGCATTATAAGTTTCACCAGGAGACATCTTTCCATGCACACCCATCTAGGGTCATTCATATTTGCATACACATCTCTAAACTAATTATTAGCAAATTATTCCACTATTACTAGTGAGAAACATTGCTGTTTGGCAAAGTTCTGTCTCTATTCATTTTCCATTACCTTATTTACACTTATTTTTATTATTCACTGTGTATTATTATCAAGTGACTATTTCTGGTTATCAAATCTACAAAATATAAAATAAAAGTCTTGTTCTCTTTATCCCATACATTTAAATTCATAGCTACTACCTCATCAAATCCCTTGCTGAGGGTAGGCTTACTTCAGACCGTGACAGTTTCCTTCAGCATTCCTTACAAATCTCACATTTATCATTTATCTTTTCTATAAGCTGCTTATACTCTTCACACCATATTCCTTCATCTATTATTAAAAATTTAACATTCTGGAA